GAGAGAAATATTCTTTGTATCCTTCCTAAAACAAAGAGCAGTAGGCTGTAAAAGGGCATGGAGAAAGGGCTGATCTCTTGTACGAGAGAAAAAAAATCTTGATGTTGAGGCTGATGTTTGCAGTGTGTGCTCAGGATGAGTCACATGAAAGGCAAATTGAGATAAGAGCAAAGACTCCTGAAAGAAAATGACTGATTTTGATCTCTGTATCCCAGCTTACATGGTCTTTGCTGTAGAAATAAAAGCTCTGCACTCTCCTGTAATGTCTCCTTAAAAGGTGCAGCGCCACCAGCTCCCCTGAGCTTCCTACCTGTGCCCTCACTGGATGCTCCCTAAGCCTCTCAGGAGGTTTTTTCTTTGTGACCTGTTTATAGAGGGTGCTCATGGTCAGCCTGTCCCAGCCTGTCCCGTCTCCAACCATGCTGACTCTGAGGCAGTCACATGAAAACTTTCACACATTTATGTAGTTGCATGTGGATATCACTAGATGTCCTCTACTGCTAAGTAGCTTCACTGTGGTCTGTGCCAAATACCAGAGAAATTTTCTGAAATCAATCTCAGTTGATTAAACTGTGTTATAGCTTCATTGTTCCTAGGCCATAGAGGCAGAGCAATATTGTTCATCCATAGCCTGAAGGTGTGATCTGCTATCTCTGACCAACTGGACTCACAGTGGCAGCAAAGCTACTGCAGTGGTTTCATGCAGATTTGGAGTCAACTGGCAGTGTAGAAATACCTCAACATTTTCCTTTGTAGATTTGAGGTTTTTATTCATTTGAGATTGAGCCATCAGACAGGGTTCAGGCTGGGGTCTCCTTGTGCTCTTCTCCAAACCCAACACGGAGGGTCAAGCCCACAGGGCTCTGCTCTAGCAAGATCTGATCTAGTGCAGGATAGTGCATTTATCTCTGCAGGGTGCAGGCAGGAACAGCTCCCTGCTCCAGCACAACCTGCCTGTCCTCCAGACAGTGATGCCAGCACCACCATGGGTTAGTTCTTGGGAGGGCAACTGCATCCCCTCAAACTCCATCTCCATCCTCTGATTTCTCTGAAGTGACCTCTTATCCTTGGCTGTGTAGCACCAGCAGGAACTTGTATGCACCGTTTCTGCAGGGAAAACTTTTTTTTTCTGTGCAAACAGTCCCTGCCTTGCTGTGGTACTGTGCAAACCTGTTGGAGTCAGTAATTCAGGAGTCTCTCTGAATTCTTCAGAGAGAAATCAGAGTGCAGGGATTGAATTAAAGCCTTTGGATGAAGTATGTTAAACCTGTCACACATAAAATAGAGGTATAAGTTTAAGTTTTAGTATAAGCAAGCAAGTAGAATGAGTTGTAAGTGCTTTAAGTAAGTAAAAGGCCTTAGATACCAGTGCAAAAGTTCGAGTTCTAGTGACAGTTAAAAAACATAGCCTTAAATACTAAGAGTTCTGTAGAGGCTCCAAAGACATAGTTTTAAACACAATAAAGCTATAGTAAAAGTATTGCTTACATTTTTCAAATAGAACAAAATAGACCATATACATAGTTTATACGTAGCCTGGCATGCTAAGAAACTAGAATTCTAATAAGTTAAGAAGTAGTGGTCCAAGTTTGTGTCTTAGGTTGTTGAGAAGTTTCTATATAAGAATGTGCATGCCATTGCTTTTTGTAATTTGGGTTTTACCATTTACTTTTACTTTATTTCTGCTTCTATTTGTAACTTTATACCAAAACTTAGCATGGACTTTAATGTCTGTAACTTTTGCTTTAAAACTAATGTGCTTCTGCAATAAACAACTTTATAACAACTATTAGCTGCTTAGCTCATTAAAGAAAACAACCTGACAAATTGGGTGCCTAAAAGCACCCAGAGACTTAACCTCACACAAACCCTCATGTTTGCAACCTTCTGCTGCAGAGCTTGGGCAAGGGAAGAGTCCCCAGCAGCCCAAAAGGCAGCTGCCAGCAAAACAAGCCAAGAGGCTCATGCTGCACTAACCCACTCAGCTTTAATATGGGATAATAAACAGCCACATTCATCTAGCTAGACCTAATAGTGAAATATTGTGCTACATACAAAATGCATCCTCTGATTTAGTGAGAGCTTGCCTGAAATATAATCTGGCTTGAGGAGTTCAGAGGTTGGACGTTCACTTTAATCTATTCAGTGAAGCTGAAACAGACTGGAAATGTCATGTGCTTAAATCTGCATGGGGGAAGTATTGGCTGAAATTTTAAGGCACTCTTTCCTTTCACTTTGTATTTCATTCCAGGGTTTGAAGTGTCTCCCATCCTGCACTCACATCCCCCCAGAGAGTGCTGGTAAAGGGGAGACTCCTCGTGCCACTGCCTCTGCTGTCAAACTGAACGTGATGTTTTGTTTGAGGGCTCCTTGGGGTGACTCAGCAGGATACAAAAATGCACTTAAATAGCAGTTGTATTGTATAAGCGCTCAACCACAGCAGCAGTTCCCCCTTAGCAATGCTGTTAACTAAGATGCACTACAAGAAATGTAGTGCTGCTCCAGATACCGGGTGGAATTAAATGAGGACGTTTTGGCTTTCCTCCGTCCATAATTTTAGTATTTCTATGGGTAGGAAGGCTACAGAAACTGACCAACAGCCCAGATACCTGACATACAGGAGCCAGGCCACAGGCTTTTCCTGTCAAATGTAACTGACTTTGGTATGAAATGCATCAGAGATTTTCAGGTTTAGGTGTCTGAGTACTGGGCTTGGTTGGCAAATGGATCTCCACAGAAGCAGAAATGTGCAGCTCTGAAGGGTGATTTGTTAAAGATGCCCAAATAGAAAGTTGGATGCTCAGATTTAAAGATCTAAACCTGAAACCTTTGGCCTACCAGTCTCAGGACGGCTGTGTCCCCAGTGTTTAGTGACAGCATTTCCACACCTCTGAGGGTGTACAAATGACCTGTTGTGTGCAGCTTTGCCAATTATTCCCTCACTCGTGGCAAGATGTGCTGATAGCACAAACCAGATTCCTTGTAGCCAGTCAGTTGCCTCCATCACTGCACTGCAGTCTGCCCTGGGAAGATAAGGAGACAGTTTTGTCCTAGAAGGAAAATTTGTAACCAACAGAGAAGCTGTTTCACACCAAATTCAGGTGTAAACATGTGACTCCTTTTGACAAATGCATGTCTTACAAACTCAGCTGTTGATTCACGGGAACAAAACACAGCTGTTCCATGGTTTGGTTTGGAAAGCCTGTGGGGTTTCTCCTGGTCTGCTCCCTCTCACCTCTTCCATGCTGCTGGACCAATGCAGATTTTGAGGCAGATACTCACATATCTTGTTTGTAAAATGGCAGTATACTTTCTCTCTGCCTCTTACACGCGTGGGAAAGACAGCATGGAGGTTGTTTTGTCCCCTGCATGCTGCAGCGCTGTCCCAGACTCCCTGGGTAGATCTTTCTGGGGACTACTGGAGCGTATGTACTGCTAATTCAGCACAGGAGGAGAGCTGGGACTGTTCACTTGGGTTTAAGAGCCATTTTGAGTTCCTGTACCTCTGCTTTGCACACCACCGGGGAGGTAAGCCCTGACCCAGCAAGGTAAATCAGCAGATGCCTAAATGGAGTCCCTGTGATGCTGTGGGCGTTCGGCATGTCCATGAGCACCCTGCAGGGCTGTGCCCACGGTGCTCCTGCGGTAGGACACATCCTTCCTGCCGTGGATTATTCTCACATAGCCACTGCTAGCATCCTCTGTGAGAGCAGCATGTGTCAGTAAGTGCGTAGGTGCGGGAGCAGAGCTTTTGCTGGTGTCATGTTTAAGGTGTGAGGTGGCAAAGGAGCCCGCAGGTGGCATAGGAAGCACTGCTTTGGTTCTGTCTCCCAGTGCCAGCCAAGGGCACAAATGGGAGGTAAGGAAAGTAACCACTGCCCATGTGTAAGTATAGGATGCCCGACTATAGTATAGCATACAGTGCCCGAGTGCTGTATAGGATGAACTCCGGTATATTAAACACCAATTTTCTTATTGGGATTAAAGTTGATGAGGCTTCCTCGTATTAATTACGAATATATACGGGGGAGAGGGAGAAGGGGGGTTTTATGTGCATAGTAGCTGGCTTTCAAAGGCTCGGTGTGTGCCGTGTTCATGTGGCGTGAACGGCGCTTGCACCAGCCCGTGCCCTGCGGCTGCTGCCCCGTCCATCACACACACAGAACCGGCTGTTTTACTGTACTCCTTGTCCTGCCCCTCCTCCCCGTTTGCTGGCGGCTGCACATCCCCGCGGCCGGAGGAGGGTCGGTCCGCTCCCGTTCAGCCACAGCCCGGCAGGGCCCGGGGTGCCGGGCGGGGACAGCCGGCCCGAGCGGTTTAAGGTGCCGCCGCTGCCGCCCCGCTCCACCTTAACGCGCGGCGGCGGCGGACGGGCCCATTGCCGCGCCGGGGGTCGGCGGGCCGGGCCCCCGGGAGCCGCCGCCGCCGCGCCCGCCGGACCGCGGCACCCACGCGCGTCCCGAGTGCCAAACGCGGCCGGGCCGCCGAGCCGCAGGTGACGGCGGGTCCCCGCACCGCCGCGAATCCCCCTCCGGCGGCGCCCGGGCCGGCCCCCGGCGGCGGGGCCGGGCTATTTATAGCAGGCGCCGCGGCGATATAAGGGATGGCCGGCGCGGGCTGCGCTGCCGCGGCCGCTGGGCCAGAGCGCGCGGGGCCCGCCGGCGCTGCCCGGCCGAGGGCGCGGCCCCGCAGCTCGGGTGAGCGGGCGGGGAGCGCTGCCTGTGAGCGGGGCGGGGGGATATAGCCAAGCGAACAATAACCCGGGCGTGTTCTGCCCGTCCCCCGCGGGGCGCGGGACAGCGCCGCGCACTTGGGGCGCTCCACGCGTGTCAAGCCCGCGGGAGGGGCGGGACCGCCGTGACACCAGGCGGTGACCGCGGCGGGGCTTCCCCCTCTGCTTCTTTCCTCTCCCCACAGCGATTCCTCCTGAAATGCGGCGCCCCACGCTGGCATGAACACCCCTGTCGGGAGCCGAGCGCCCCGGGCACCGCCGCTTTCCCTGGCCTCAGCTCGGTGTCGGGAAGAAAGCGCTGTCGCCGACTGTCGCCGCGGAGCCGCCGCTCGCAGCAGCGCCGGACGCGGGACGGACGGTACGGGGGTGTGGGGGGCTCGGGGTCCCTGCCCCGCCGGGAAAAGGGAATGTATGGCGCGATGGTCGGAACGGCGTGCGGTCCGTGTCTTCTCCGGGCGGTGCGCTGAGTTATGCGGTGTAATGGAAGATCTTTGTAAGTTGAGGGTTTGTTGGATTTTGCTGGTGTCAGGGGTTACCCTCCCCGCTACAGATTCAAAGCCACAGTAATGTTTTACTTTCCTACCCCGGCTGTGTTTGGATGTGATGAGTATGGCGAGGATTCTTATATTAAAATTGCTCGTGGATCACTGAGTACTTTGCATAAGCGTCAATAACTTTTAGAAGGATAGAGATGCGATCTTCAATTACAAAGGAACAAGGAGAGGAGGAGGCACAGCTTTGGGGTTTTTTTCTTCTGATTTTCCTTTACTTTTACTTTGCTTTTTTACTCTCTGCTTTAAGAAAACAAACTGAACCGCAGATAGGACAAGGATTTTTCAGACCTTGTGATTGGGATTGTTGGGGATTAGAGAGAAAACTTGTAGGTTTTTTGTTTGTTTATTTATTTTAATCAATAGCTCAAGAGCCCTAGAAACAACGTATAAAGCCCTGCATCCTAGGCAGAGAAACTAAGATAAAGCCACGCTGGCTGCAAGCTGAGGAGCAAGTGTTAGACCTCGGCTGGATCAGTCTCAAGCATCCTGCACTCCTCTGCTCCAGTGACCCTCCCTGTCGTGCTGACCACGTCGTGCAGCAATTGGGGACTTCACAGTGGCCGGTCCGAGTGGAGGCAGGGCTTTTCTTAGAAGAGCAAAGCGCACAGGGGAGCCCTGACCCCGGCTTGAGGCTTTTTCCCAGCACAGGGAACAGCAGCCCTTCAGCACTGTCAGCTGGCACTGTCCTCCAGTAATGCCATGGAAAATATGAAAATCTAAGCCACCAACTCCTCAGGTAGCTTAAATCATCTAGGTTCGGATTTTGTTAGCAGGCTTAAAGGGATGCTATTGACTGGAAATGTTTGTGTGTCTTACCTGGAAACTGATGTTCATAGAAGAGTTGATACTAAGAAAAGTGAATCAACTTTATAGTCATATCAGCTATAGATGTGCTTTCTGAATTTTCACTCTGAAATTATCTGGTTAGCTCAGGCTCTTTCTGCACAAGAGAGATGCATTTCAAAGGCCTAAAACTGTCATTTTTCTTTATGAAAAGTACTGGTCTCTTGCTCTGAATCTGTTAAAAGAGATTTGCAAAAACAAGATCTATCAATTTAAGAAAGGCGGGAGAAAGATAAGAGAGAACAAGGGGTGTGGCAAGGAAATTATGAACTAATAGCTTTAAAGAAAAATATCTCTCTGTAGTAGAGCTTTGGACTGCCTAAGAGGGGTAAGATTTCTTTCTAGATATTTGAGTCTGAAAATACTAAGCTGACAGCATCTCCTTAAAAATAATAGTGTATGTAGGAAATGAGTATGACTAGCTCCATATTATAGTTCTACAACAATTTGTTTGTCTTCCTTTGATTTTGCTTCTCCGTTCCAGTATGCTAGAGTGTATACCCATATTGCAGAGGGTCAAACACCCCACCAGCATCACTCGTGAACTGGAGCAGCTGCAATAGGGTCAGAGCTGGCCCAGCACCACTTTTCAGAAATACAGTGAGAGGCAGTTCTATTTATGGAAGTTTTTGGTGAGCATTTTCACAAGCTCAAATTTTTTTGCAGAGGTGCTAAGAATTGCAGAAACTAAACTTGCCTTGTTCATGGGGGGAGCTTGTGGTATGTGTCATATTGGATGTTTTTTTCTTATCCTGGGACTGAGGCTAACACTAGGAAAGAATGACATTGTATCAGAAGGTGGTTAGAGAGGACTTTCTTCATTCTCGTCACACATTTTTTGGCACTGCTGGAGACATGGCGTTTGGGGATTGGAAGGAGGAGGATGAGTCCTGCACATGAGCTGGTGTTGTCACTGGCAAAGGCAATGTAAGGCAGGTGGATATAGAGAAATGGATGGGATGATTCATTATTGTTGACATTGTGCTGTGGTTTCTTAGGCTCTTCTTTAGCTGCAGTGTCCCATACCCCAGACCTCCCTGGCCAACTAGCTGCACCATGTGCTCCTAGTGGTGTTTCAGGGCTGACGACATTTGAGCAGAAACTCTACTCCCTTCTTTTAATTCTGGAAGGCTGCTTGTGCAAAACTGTTCAGCTTCATTCATTTCTGCCTTTTCATTTCTATCTTCCTTCCTTGGGTGTGAAGTCCTTTTTGTAGCTGGATTCAAGCCAGGAACCTCTACCCATAGCTGCCAAGCCTGGCATCCCTACTGACCTGCTGGCTCCAGGTGAGTCAGTTCATTAGGATGAATCAGTATGCCCTGTAAAAGTTATAGGCTCCAGACTTCAGCTTGACCACTCTTAATAATTTGGTTTTGCCTGGTTTGTTTGTCACTGCTTCAGCTAAGGTGTCACTTCTGGTGACTTCTTGCTTCATATTTGCTCAGCTTTTGGAGCCATGCAGGGCCTTCAGTGCAGTGCCCCTACACTTTTTGGAGCTGCTTTTGCCTCAGTATTGTAACTTCTCCATGACTGGCTCATCCCTTTACCTCTCTTACCTGCATAGGTGGAGTTAGGGGAGATTGTACCTCAGAATGGGAATGTGCAGCTCACAATGCAGGGAGTACTTCAGACTCTGGAGGTGGAGAATATTAACATGAATCCACAGGAATGAAGAGGGGAGTGTTTTTGCATGGTGGTGGTGTTTGCATAAGCTTTTACTGTCATAAATAAGTAGATTAGGATTTAGGGGACAAATTCAATGTGAAAAATAGGGAATTAATTTTCAGGCTTCTAAGGCAGGGCTGAGGAAGAGAAGTGGTGTTAAAAGATATGGAAATGTGCCTTTAAAGTGACCTTTCAAAGATGTATGACATTATTTTTGTTGTGTGAAGCATCCAAGTTTAATGAAGTATAAAGCAGAAGGGGTTGGGACGATTTGGTCCAAGTGAAAACAGAATGAGCGTGGGACTGGCAGATGGGAGGAACATTAGCCCACTCCTTGGTGGAGTTGTTGCTTTCTCCTGTCGTTGCTTATAGGGGTGCTTGAGAGAAGACACTTACTGGGGAGGAGAGAATAGCCTTCCTGTTCCACTTGAATGTCACTGGCTCTATTTTTCTCTGTGGGGAAACAAAGTTCCAGTGCTCCAGTGGGTCATATCCTGAGTGTTTGTATCCAAAGTAAATCTAGAGCAACACCATCTACTTCACTAACATCTGCAATAAGCCATGACTGGCCCTTTCTGAACAGAGAGGGAAAATGAGCAGCTGTAACTTCAGATGCTGAATTTTTTGGCATACTTATTTTTTTTTAAATTTATGGCTCTTTTATTCTCTCTTTGAGAATGTAGTGGAGCAATTGCTCATCTGTGCATGAGTATATGTGAGAAAATGTCAGTGGAGGAGTAATATATATGGAAATCTTGCACAGAGATGGAACAGGCAGCTAGTTTGCCATTAGATAATGAAATAATTATACAAAAATATGTCTTCTGAAATAAAGATTGAGGTAAGGGATAGGGACAGGCATGGGGGAGGTTAACAATATTTTGAAGTAGTTTGTTCTACTTACAGTACTCATTACTGACTCTCCTGCAATTTTACTCTTCAGACACTGTTTTTCCAGTGAGTGGTGCTTAGTGTTGCACAGGCAGATAGGTTTCATCTGAGGGACCAGCCCAATTGCTGGAGCTAGGTGAAGGGGTGGGAGACTGCCCCCAAATACTTTCTCTGTCACAAACTGGCCAAAGATGGGTAGGCCAAGGTCAGCAACTCTTACAGGTACCAATGAACCTGCCTCTCAGTGAGTCTACTTTCCTTCTTTCTAAATTGGGGTAGTAGAAGTTATTTATAAATATAGCTGAGATACTTCAGGAGGCATCTAAGTATCTGAGACAGTCTTGGATGGGATTCCCCTTCCTGCTACTTCTCTTCTGACCAGAACTGACCAGCAGAAATGTTCAGTGCTTGTAGAATTTACATATTAATTTTTGGCTAGATTTTGTTAACCTTGGAATTTGTATGACATTGATAGGCTCAAGAGTAAAATCTTTAACTACTTTCTTATACTTTCTGCTACTATAGAGAAGCTTAAAAAGTTCCTGGCACTCCTTCACCTTCTACCAAATAACACAATGCCTCCCTTGCCTTCTCTTTGAGAAAGTCTGCTTCCTCAAAGAATGTTGTATCAAATATATAACTTTATTCAGGGTGGTAAAAATTATTTGTTCTTTCTTCATCCCAGCTCTTGACTGCATCTGCCTAGTTCTTGGTCTAGAGGTAAATGTCACTGAGGACTGCCTGTGGACTATTTTGCATCTGAATGGTGACTTGTAATGATTCAGGTAATGGGCCAGACCACTGTTTTATGTAGTGACTGGTGCTAGTCCACTGAAGTCCAAACAGCTGCTCCAAGTTTCCATCATCTCCAGTGAAAACAAGTACCACAGCATCAGCTTGCAGCCAGTTTACAGTAAACCTACTCCCTGGGCTGTGGGTTAACCTCCTTACATGTCCCTTGTGGTCAGGTCTGTTACTCTCCTATGTGAAAATAAATCTTGGTGTGCTTTCTGATTTACTGGAGTGTAAATAAACCAGGAAGGTCTTTCACGTTCAGGCTCTCTCATCAGCATATATTAGTAACGCTCATCAGCTTTTCACTGGAACTTTGATGGCATAATTACTCTGAAAGGGTAACATATTCAAAACTACCTTTGTGACTTTGGGAGTTAGATTCCTCGGAGTCTTAGTCATTATTTTAAGTAGGAATTAGCTTTTTAAGCTGCACACACTCCTGGAAGTTTTAAGCAAAGGCTTCTGTTTATCTTGTCTTTAAAATACCAGTTTCTAGGATGAGAGTGGCAGCTCTGCCACTCCACTCATCTCAGATATTAAATAAGAATGTTGGAGAAACAGTTAGAAAAATATTGTGGTAAATAAATTCTCATGGGTAGTCTTATTAGAG